CAATAATACACAAATGCCAAGATCTAAAAGACATAATCTCAGTAGTTTTTCCGCAACTAGATGTGGCAATGACATCGACTGCAACATTTTTAACTGAACGTACAATTCTTTCTGCACGGAATGATGATGTCAATGCTGCTAATACTGCTGCATTGAATATTTTTCACGGTGACACATATACTTATTTGGTAGCAAACAAGACGTCTGAAGATGATGAAATTGATTGTACTATAATAAATAGATATCCTAATGAGCATTTAAAATTTATTAGATCCTCCTATGCTACCAACTTTTAAGGTAGAGTTGAAAGTGGGTTGTCCTATAATATTGTTAAGAAATATTGCACCAAAAGATGGACTGTGCAATAGTACAACATTGATTGTTTCTAGATGCAATACTCGCATAATTGAAGCTCAAATTTTAACTGGAGAAAAATTTGACAATTTGGTATTCATACCAAGGATATCCTTGACATTGTCTTCTTCAGAAATGTCTTTTCGAATGACAAGACATCAATTTTTAGTTCGCTTGGTATATGCCCTGACCATTAATAAATCTTAAGGGCAATGTGTGAAATTTGTTAGAGTTGATTTGCACACACCAGTGTTTAGTCATGGGCAACTGTACGTGGCCCTATCTAGATGCACATCGTTTGATCGTATAAGTTTCCTTCTTCCCAATGATGAGCTAAATTCTACTACAAACATTGTTTATCCTGAAATTTTGTTATTTTGTTATAGTGTTATTTATGGATCAAATCACTTTTGTCAAAAGGTACAATTTATTTATTGATAAATTTGCTTCTATTGATTACAAATTATTGTTTATAAATATTTTATTATATGTTGACTTTTGTAGGATTGGGTTAAAAAATACATGGAGCTCAAAAACATAAATATAACTAGATTGCTTCGATGGAGATGTAACAAAGTAATTTCAATTTAAAAGTGTTTTGATATATATATATATATATAGATTTTCTTTTACTAATATACTAACATTTTTATTTTCATAAATTAGTAGATTGTCGTACGTGCTTTTCACTGGGGATACATACAAGTTGGTACAAAGACTTTTTGGAAAGTGATAAGGTACTCCTAAGAATTCTAAGAAAAAACAAATTTGAAGATCATATTTATTTTTGTGAAAAATGTACACATGCTAGTTACAATCCAAATTTTGTAAAGTTTCCTATTGATGTGAATTTTATTACTTACAATAGTTTTGTAAAGCCTTTTATCTATGTGAAATTTATAACTAAGTTTAGATGTATGTTGGATAATATTCATTTGAATTATTGGCTTATGCTATGAGTTTGTTTTTGTAAATGTAGCACACTAGGTGATATAGTCTTTTTTGTTTTTTTTTGTTTTTTTTCTCCCTAATATGCTCTTGAATTAGGTTAAAGAAAACTAATCATATTTTTATTTGGTTGAATTTGAATTTTTGCTTCATAATATTGGTTGATGTGCTTAATTTGTTGTTTTGCATTTTCTTTGTATTACGGAACATTGGCTGGTGTGCTTAAATTGTTATTTGGCATTTTCTTTGTATTTTAGAGCAATGGCTGGTGTGCTTAATTTGTTATTTATTTTTTTCTATTGTAGAGCATTGGCTAGCGTATTACATCTGATTTGTATTGTTTGTGGGACTTACATTTTGTTATTTGTTTAAAATCTTATACTTTTATCATGCTTGAATTTTACGTAATATTTATGTGTTTTCTTTTCACTATTTCGTTTACCTATAAATTTGCAAAATTTATCTTTAAATTGATTTATTTACCATTTCATTGATTTAATTTTCACTATTTTTTCTCACAATTTCATTTATTTAATTTTTTGCACAGTAAACTGACCACCAAACCATAAAAATTGGTAGATTTCAACCATTAGATTAAAATTGATGCAAAACTATAGCCATAAAATCTCTCTTCTTTATTTCAACCAAAACTCACTATCTAAAAAAATGTGGAATATAGAAATTTATTTGGGTATTGCTATTGGCCAGGGTAATAAAGTGCTTATTTTCTGTTGCAAATTGCAGGTGGGTTAAATAAACAAAAATACTACAATAGTAAATATTTGGTGATATGGTCTTTGTTTGCATTTGTGTCATCACTATTTTCACGTTTTCTTGGCCAAGGTAATAATTGTGTCATCATTATTTTTACATTTTCTTGATAAATTGTAGCAATTTCCATCCCATTGCCTCCACCACTACTAATCATGGACCATACCATTTTTTGCCATTTAAATTTCTATTTGACAAACAAAAACGAAACTATTTTTGCATTGAGAATTTGAGTTCAAATACTATATCAATCACAATGATATTATTGAAACTTGTTTATTGTTAAAAATAAAAATTTATAGCAAAACTTATTGTTAAATTCAATTGGACAGTTTTTATATGTTTATCATTAAGTTTGTACTACAGACAAGGAGGGTCTAATTTTTTTTTATTTATTAAGTTAGTTCTTTCTAAATTTTATAATTTTGAAAAATATTTAAATTGAGTGGATTTGAAAAGTGAAAATATTTTGATTAAAATATTAAAAAGTTCACTAAAAACTTTAAAACTATTTTTGGAAATTCCAAAACTAAGTAAGTTTTGAATTTTAAATTTGTAAAAATTATTTTTAATATATACAACCAAATAAAATTTTAAGTTTGACAAACTCTTTTCAAAAGTTCTAATCATGAAATTCATTTGAAAATTCAAAACCATACGGATCATCTATTTATATTTTCACCTCAAATTTTCTTTGAACAAATTGAATAGATTACATTTTAACCCAATAATTTTATATTCAATTACATTTTCATTCCACCAATAGTTTTACTGTGCCTTCAGGCACGGGTATACCCTAGTAAAAATATATCGATATTCTAAAGGGGTCGTTTGGTAAACATTTTGGACTAAAAAATAACAAAAAGGATAAAAAAAAAAAAGGTAAAGAAAAAAAAAAAAAAGGTCAAAAAATCACAAAATGACAAAATAAGCAAGAAGATAAAAAAAAAAAATACACCATCCCAAAGCCGAAAAGCCAAACAAGAATACCAAACAACTAAAAAAGTCCTAGGTTAAAAAAGTCAAAAAGCCAACTAAAAAAGTCATTGCCAAACGAGCACTTAACATCTTGTATTTTTCATTAGTAAGACTTGTATTTGTATGAGTGTAAGTCCCCATAATTTGGAACTTGTGTCACTTTGATCTTTAACTTTTTAATTATGATACATTTGACTCTGAAGATAAGGACAATTAACAATGTTTCATTTGTAAATTGTCCATTTCAAAGGTAAAGTTGTCATACAACTTATGTTGTATTGGTTAACTTGTATATTATTTGAAATGCAATATTTTTTTTAATAAATAGTGTCGGAACTTTCTTGATTATAAAGTTCTGTTTGGTTTTATTTTCAAAATATATTTTCAGAAATTTTTTCTAAAAAACTAAAAATCAAAGGGTAAACTATTAATAGGTCCTAATAGTTTGACTTAATTCCTATTAAGTCCTATTAAAAATAAGTTTTGATAAAATTGTTGTTAAAAATATTTTTTTGTGACAATTTTTTATATGTCGCTAAAAATTGACAATTAGTGACTTTTTTGTCATGATTTTTATAAATTGTCACTAAAACTTACAATTAGTGAATTTTTTTATGATTTTTTTTTCATAGGACCTATTAGATAATAAGTCCACTTATTATGACCTACACGTAAGTACTCCAAAATTAAATTGATGAAAAAAATTAAAAGCACATTATTTTTATATAATTTTATCTTTTGGAAGGGTAGAAATTATTTTTTTCTCGTTAAACATGGTTGACAATTTTGATATCGTTATTAAACTAATCTATTAAATTAAAATATTCAAAAACTAAAAATATTTCATATATTAAATAAATCGATTACACATTAAAAGCCTAATATAATAACCATCTATTACATAATAGTCATGAAAAAATATCTATTACAAAAAAAAAATATCAACAAAAAAAACCACTTCTTACATAATCATCATCCAAATTTATATTGAAAAATAATTTGGTAAAAAACTAAAAATATAAAAGATTTATTTTTATCTTTGGTGGGTAGAAACAATTTTTAAAAATTAAAAAATAATTTTTGACATTTATTTTTATCAAATTAGTTTATATTTTACCAAATTAATGATTTTATCTTTGAAATAAAACAATAGCTTCAATTGTCCTTATTTAAAATAAGATTCCAAATTTAAGATCAAATATATCACAATTAAAATGTTAAGAATTAAAGTGACACAAGTTTCAAATTACAAAAATCGTTAATATAATTCGTCATATTTTATAAAGTCACAAAATTAGCACATCTTTATCACATCTTAGGCTCCGTTTGGTAGAGCTTTCAAAATAAAGTTTCACACTCATTTTTTAGTGTGGTGTTTGTTTGCGTTTTCAAAAATTAATTCTACATTCAGTTTTGAAAATTCGAGTGAAAACTCTTTTCAATGAAAAAAAATTTGGGCTAACCGGAGGTTCCACCGATCGTCTGGTCTGTTGACCGAAACAATGTTCGATTTTTTTTTATATTACAAAAAAAAAAATTGTGAATTTTTTTTAAATTTTTTTTTATGAGTTTTGAATAGAATTTTGAGTTGTTTGTTTAGTTATGAATTGTAAGTTTTGTATCAAATATCATATGTCATATCATTTAATTCAAAACTTAATTTAAAACGCTTTTCAAAACTTATAACTAAATAAATTTTTCTCATTCAAATCATAATTTTAAAACTCATAAAATCTAAAATATAACTCAATTTTCAAATCACAATTCTAAAATTATACCAAACACTATCTTAATTTTTCCTACTTCTAATAGAACATGGTGAAGGCAGGCACCCCAAACCCGCCTTATTGCAGGTTTGTTGTGCCCGCAGACCCGCAACGGGGATTTTGTCCGTTCCGTTGCCAACCCTGCGTACGGGGTCGAAGCATAATTTTCGAAATTACAAAGGGGTTGCCTTTGCAATTTACCAAAATGCAACACATACCAAAAAAGGGAGTGACATGACAACACCCACCAAGTCACTCTTCGCTAGGAAGGAAGAAGAGACGGTGACGACGACTTTGCTAGTTTTCTTCGTCTTCTCACTCGCTTTTGATCACTGGTAAAAACCCTTCAATTTCTTTCAATTTCTGGGAAAATCTTTTCTAATTCCATGTAATATTCATGTATCTCGTTGTTGTCAATGACTTATCTGTGTATTGTTTAATCATATTGTTCTTGATCCTTTTTTTGTTGTTTGTTTGATTTCTCGCTCTTGATAATCACTATTAACCCTCATTCTGAAACAAATTTTTTGTGGGTTTTGAACCAGTTAGCTCGATCAATTTCAACACAAAAGAGATGATGGGTATTGGGTCTGTGGGTAATGTTGGTTCGTTATCGTCATCGTCCAATTTATCGGCTTTAGCTCCTCCTTTTACAGTCGATCGTTCCAATCCCAAACCCAATTCAAACCCACTTGCGCATTTCACTGAATCGCCCTATGTGCCTTTCAATTCCTCTTTCCCCAATTGGCAATATTCACATTCTTCAGCTTCGGGAACTAATTTGTATTCCAATATTGATTTCGGAGTCGATTCAATTCGGACCACATGTGTTCCTTCAGCCAAGGATTATTCTTACTTGGGATCAAACTCTGTCAATTCACCCACTACCCATATGCCCCCATTAATCCCTAATGTTAGTTCCGCGACAGATTCATTCACTTTTCTGCAGTATTCGAGTGGTATACCAAGTAATCGTGTTGAAGTCGAGCCATATTATCCTCCGTTTGTCTCGACTCTTGTTGATGATGATAACCCTTTGGTGGCGCTTAATGAACCTAGCTATGATTTGTTGTCCAATTCCTGTGTTGCCCCATTGGATGGATCTTTTCAAGTTGATTACACTCAAAGCTTGTCGGGTTTGGAGTACACACCACAGTGGGGTGGCTTTTGGAATAGATTGGCTGATGGGGAACAGGGTGAACGGGTAGAACCGGATGGAAGATTCTGCTCAGATGGGACAAATTTTGCTGGTTCATATGTTTACGAGAATTATATGAAACAAGGTATCAACAACTATGTTTGGAATTGTGGGATTCTTATGTTTATATGATTCTCATATATTATAGCTCGTTGTTGTTGTGGTATTAAATCACACCTTTCCTAATTTTAGATATGATTTATCGCATAATTACATAATCCTATTATTAACACATGCGTTTATTTTTCATTCTTTGATTAATGATTATGATTTAGGATATCATTCCTTTTTTACATTCTTGTCCAACAGCCCACTTTATCAGGATTCGGGATTGCTATTTTAAAATGTCTCCGGTAGTTCCGCTGTGGCCACAGGCCTGATTGCCTACACCTTAGCATTTCAGTCATCAGCTGAAATTATGTATTGTTTTGATTTTACAAGTTGGTAAACACAACAAGAAAACCTTGCCCCAACTTGCTCTTTATCTCCTGTTCATTTATAGTTGTGGTCGTCAATAGAGAAAAGGGGGCAAATTAGAGTTTGACAGAGGACCCTACGTGGTTGGATCTTGCTCAAGGTTTGACAAGAATTTTGCTAAGGCAAAAATGGTTTCAACTGTAGAGATGTCCTCATGCTTATTTTGCACCCATTGTTATGGAAAAATGCTATAGAGATACATCTATGACCCCTTTCTAATGATCTTTGTAGTGAGAAATTGACTTTATTGCTGACGTGTGCTTTGTGTGTTTAGGGGGTTCCCTATTTCTTCTTTTTATTTTTATTTGATAAGTATAAACGAAAGAAATGTGAATATATATGTGCTATGAAACAAGTTTGGTGAGCATAGATTAGAGAGTACATGTTTTGCCTCACTTATGTAAAACCTACGATTCACTTTTTATATATTTAGTTTTAAGTCTTCTTGTTAGAAAAAGTATTGTTCTCAATTCTATGGGACAGTCATTTTCCACATCTTTTAGCTGGCCCTATGGAATCTTTTGATGCTTTTTTGCTCTGTGTATTGTTTGTCTGAAGGGTTTATAATATCCCTCAAGGAATAACATGCATCACTCACCAGTATGTGTTTGTCTACATCAAGTGGTACCTGACAGTTTGTTCTAACATGGGGCTAAATAGCCTAATAGGCACTCCTCCAGAATCATGTCTCTAGGGAATCCTATCTTGGATTAACTATCTGAATTTTGTTTGTTCCCACTGTTGCTTGCCATGTTAAATTATTGAAGTCAGATTGAATATCTTTCCTTCTTGATTTTATTCTGAGAACTTTTTTGTCAAAAGGGAATGGATATGTTTACCAAACCCAAGAATTTTGAGCCTTTTTATTGTGAAGTGGAAAGGGGGAAAAAATTACCTGAATTAGAGTACTTGGTCAAGACCTATTTTAAACAAATTGATGGCCATATTCTTCACTTCACTTTTTATGTTCTTATGCAGGCGGTTGCACAGCTGAGGACTCAAGCAAATGTGAAGATACTTCTGCAGCTTCACATAGAAAATATGTTGATCTTTTGGGAAAAGAGAACAGAATTGTGTCTCCAAGTACGGGAAAGTTGAATTACAAATCCTCTTCACTGCAAGATCCCTGGTTTATTTCCAGTGAATCCTCAAGAACATCAATCTCAGGAAGCTCAATGCTTCCGGAATCTCATGCACAGGTGCCATCTCTAGAATCAGCCACAAATATCTGGTATCAGAAGCCATATGGTACATCATATGATAAGTTCTTCCAGCCGCTTGATTCTTGCACAAATGATTTCATATCAGTAAAAAAGTCATCCCCTGCTCTCGTCATCAGACCTCCATCCATTGGTACCAGTTCTACAGTGCCAAATACAGTTTCATCTGAAGATGCAAATTCTATTGGGAATGTTGCAGCCATTAACAGCAAGGATTTTGGTTTCCACTATCCCTCTAATCAAAAGGAGCCTCACTTGCCACCGAGTAATGACAAAGAAGGTTGCTTGGATACTACTCAACCCAACTTACATGTGGACAGAAGTGACTGTTTCTTTGTTGCATCATCCTCTACTAGAAAAGAAGAGCTGTCAAACAAGCCTGTTACTAAGGATGTTGTGGATCATATGTCTGAAGCTGGAATGGAATTCCAACTACCGGATATAAATGTCCCAGATGGCTTTACTTTGCCTCTTGATAGTGCTAAATGCTTTACTGTGGTTGAGGATTCTTCCGAGAGTTTTGATCATTATAATGCTGTTGTTGATTCACCCTGCTGGAAAGGTGCTCCGGCTTCTCCTTTTTCTCCACCTGAAGTTTCTGAAGCTTTAAGTCCACAGCATCTTATGAAGGAATTGGAAGCATGTAATGGTTTGAAGATTTTTCCTTCCTGCACTGATGGTACTGTAAGGGTGTCCTGTGAAAATCAATTCGAAAAAAGTGTGTACGAGTATAATGGATATGTGGAACTTGGTTCATTGATTTGTCCCGAGAGACTTTCAAATGCCAATTTTCCAGCCAAGGAGCGTAGTTCAGCTGATGCTGTGAAAGCAGGATTCAATTATCCACAAATGAGTAGCAACAATATACAATTTTCTAATGACATCGGCAAACCAAGAAAAGAATATGATGTTCCCACTGACTCAAAAAGTAATCCTGATATGAAACCTTCTCACACCAAACCACCGGGTCTTGACAAGGGTGAGTTTGTATCTCAAAGTGAGTTCAAATTGTGCGCTGGTGTTGTGGACTCTGGGTTGAAAATTAGTGATACCTCAGAAAATGATTCTGTGTCATTCCATGCTATGGAAAGTACTTGTTTTCCTTGTAATTCAGAAGATGTTAATGATCTGGCCAAACTGCAGGAAACGGCATTGACTCCAAAAATGAATGCCCAGATGCTGGTTAATACAATACATAACCTTTCAGAATTGCTTCTATTTCATTGTTCAAACGATGCCTCTGCATTATCGGAACATGATCATAAAGCCCTTAAGCATGTAATCAACAATATTGATGCATGTGTATCACAGAGGATGCTACCTATGACTGCAACAGGAGAATCAATGCTTTCTCGACAAGGAACTTCTAATGAATCTAGAAAGTTACCTGATCTTCGTAAGGTATGTAAGGTCCTCGAATTGCCATTATATGGTCATGTATTTATTTATTTGCTTCACAAGTAGTAATTTATATTACTCCCTCCGTTCCATTTTGTTGGTGCACCTTTCCATTTTCGGATGTCCCAAAATAAATGACCATTTTGAAAATTCAATGAACAAAATAAATGTCCATTTTGAAAATTCAATGAACAAAGTTATGGGATTTTCCCATTTTACCCTTTCTTTTTTTGATTAAAATAACAATTTCAAAAATCAAAATTACAACAGGTCAAAGTCAAACACTGTATCCATTCAAAACAAAAAGGTCCATTATTACCATGAGCAGAGCAATTATAGATGGGAAAATTTGGAAAGTTGAAAATATATGATTGCAATAATAAATGATTCCTTAAAAAGTTGGATTCCTGAAAAGGGACCATTCTTTTGGGACGGAGGGAGTACTTAAATTATGAGGATAACATCTGTTTTCTTTTAAGCAATGTGTTATCGGCATTTCATGAAGTTCCATCCGTTGTCCTATACAAAGTATATGCTCACACAATTATATTTAAAATTGTTTGGTGAGATGCATCTAAAAATAAAAGTATTTAACTAGAATATGAATTTTTTTTATTAAAAAAAAAAAAAAAAAAAACATACGAAAAACAAAGAACTCAAAATCAGTTTTCATAAACTAAACCGTAAAATTTTGTTCTAGATACATGTAAAAAATAAAATATTTTTTGGTATTTACTCCAGCGAACTTTTTTGAGATTTCTTCACAAATATTTTACTTTTCAGGTGCATCTAAAATATAAAAAATAAAAATGACTGGACTATTAAAAATTCACTATAAAAAAAAACTCAAAAATAATTTTTGGTTTAACATGCATTGATGGCCATAGACGATAGGGGCATTGGGTTTGAGATCTTTGTATTCTCAGAATATGGCTTTTAGCTTTTGTAATTAAGCTGAACCATGCTTTCTCCAGGGTGTCATCGCTGGCGGTCCTCCATTGACAAAGGAAGCAGATGCTAGTTTTCATGGTCAATTTGATCATCATGGCATACACGACGGCAAGAGGAACAGAACTCTTTCTAGTAAGGAAGTTGAGAAATTTCCGGATTTTGTTTCTTTAAGCGATGATGTAGACAATTTGAAAAACAATAACACAGTCCAGGTATGTGTTAATTTGTTTTGTAATTTTATTGTTCTTCTGGGCCAGAAAAATAATCATGCTGAACTGGAACTCGAAATGGAGATTTTTGTTTTGTTTTGTTTTGTTTTGTTTTAGATATTATGAAAGAATACCTTACATTTTTGTCATGTAAATGGCCTGCAGGCTATAAAAGAGGTCCTCAAGGAGGATTTTAATGGTTGTGGAGAGATGCAATCAGAAACACTACTGTACAAAAATCTATGGCTCGAGGCTGAAGCAGCCTTATGTTTCAGTAGTTATAGAGCTCGCTTCAATCGTATGAAGATTGAGATGGAGAAATGCAAGTCGCACAACACAAAAGGTTAAAATATCACCTCCTCACCAGCTTCTTTCTTCGAATTCAAAAAATAAGTAACTTAATTTTTTTCTCCTTCAGATGTGGCAGAAACTAGTAATGCCGTTGAGAAGCTACCGAGCTCCAAATTTGCTCCTGATCCAAACATTAGTCAGAAAGTGACACCCGAGTCTGATGATAGCCCAATGTCGGATAAATCCATTCAGGATTCTTCTATTCCGAGTACAACCAAGATTGTTGATGATGATGATGCATCCACCATGGCCAGATTCTGTATCCTGAAATGCAGGGGTCAGAACTCGAGCGCTGTAAATACAGAAGGCCAACAACGACTCAGAGAAACTAGTAATGCTGCTGAGACGCTTCCGAGCTTCAATTTTTCTCCCAATCCAAGCATAACCCATGAAGTGACACCTGAGTCTAAAGATAGCCCAATGTTGGAGAAATCCATTCAGGGTTCTTCTATTCCAAGTACAACCAAGGTTGTTGATGATATTGATGCATCTGCCATGGCCAGATTCCATATCCTCAAACTTAGGGGTCAGAGCTTGAGTTCTGTAAATACAGATGGCCAAGGACTGGCAGAAACTATTAACGCTGTTGAGAAGATACCGAGCTCCAAATTTTCTCTTGATCCAAACATCACTCGCAAAGTGACACCGAAGGCTAATGATTCTCCTATTTTGAGTAAAACTAAGATTATTGATGATGTTGATGCATCCACCATGGCCAGATTCGATATCCTCAAATGCAGGGTTCAGAACTCAAATTCTGAATGGGAACAACTGGCCCAGGTGGTTGAGTATGGATTTGCAGGCAAGGGAAATGATCGGCAACTGATTGGAAACCGATCAGAGCATGGAAGTTTGGAAGTTGAAGTTGATGATGTTCATGCATCCACCATGGCCAGATTCGATATCCTCAAACGCAGGGGTCAGAACTCAAATTCTGTAAATACAGAACAGGAACGACTAGCCCAGGTGGTTGAGTCTGAATTTGCAGGCAAGGGAAATGATTGGCGATTGATTGGAAACCGATCAGATCATGGAAGTTTGGTAGTTGGTGATGGGGCTCATTTGCAGTATTTCAGCGACATCAGTAAATTAGACAAATTTGGCTCGTTTGTAGGTGGTTCTGAACATGAAAATGTGCAAGAGTTTCGTGTATTTGCTATGGATGATCAGGTGATCCAGTATGGTTGGAACAGGTTGGGAAGTGAGCTTCCTCCAGGTTGGGTTGATAGCTCTTCATCAGATTGGGAATATGTACCGAAGGATGAATTTGCACGGGAAAACTGATGGACCTCAATTTGGGATCTGAATCCACACGGGTAAATAATCTCTTTTGGTTTTGTTCATATTTTGTGGTGGTTGACTTATATTTGTGGTATGAGAAGGAGAGAGTGCTCCAAACTTGTAAAAAGCTTATGGACTTCATTTGAACTTGTCAAACCTGTATTACCATGCGGATGTTATCTGGGTTTTCTTTTTATTTGTACTCTGCTATGCTATGCTTTGCTTCGCGGAGGCAGTTTTAGAGCTGAGTTGAAGATAACCTGTGTGGTTGTACTGAGGAAAAAAAAACTGCACTTGATCCCCTATTCCTTTTGTACTTCGCCCTTAAAATACACTGCTTCCCTGAACTTCAAAAATCTATACTTTACACCAAGTGAAACTGTGTTTTTCAGGTTCACCCTCCTGCATTCACTCTCTTCTCAAGAGCTCTCTCTCTCTCTCTCTCTATATATATATATATATATGTATATATATACACACACAATTCAGGGTGCTACTCCATAGCCAAAGCTTATCACTAGGCACGAAAAATTAAGTTCCATAGCTTATATTTTATGTTTGGATATTTGGTAAAGGAACAAAAAATGAAAGAATTTTCGGCCATATAATTGTGATACCTGGCAATTACTCCGCCAAGAATCAAAACCACTTACTCTCATTCCTCTCTCATTTTGGATCTTGTCTCTCGGGGGAAGAGGGAGAGTCGTTGAAGTTTTGTGTATCATGCTGGCAGTGTTTCAAGCTGCCATAGCTTCCTTCTCTAGAGTTAATCTAGCCATCTACTCCTCCCCTCTTCTCCCAATCCAGATTGGCTGATCCTTTCTTTTTTCTTCCCATTCCCCTCTTTCTCCGATCCAGATCCCAGGCGACTCCACCAACAAGGCAAACTTAACAACCTTGTTTGCTCCTGTTACACATTGTATGGATGTTAGTTCAGCGCATTTAAGGCACTATTTGTCTTGGTTATGTGACTTCTGTGAGTGAGGCATCATCTATAAGTTGTGTTTTGTTGTGATTGCTGTGGTTTCTTTTCACCCATTAGGCTATGTGATATCTTTTCACATGACTGGAAATTATTGATTTCTTTTCATTACCTTAGGTGTTTGTGTTTTATTGTGGTCCTTGTGGCTTCTTTTCCTGTTAATTGTAGTCTTATTCCTCAGTACTATTAGGTTCTATTTGGTTCATTGGAATGAGATGAAATGGAATGATTATTTCTTTACAATGGTGAATGACGATTCCATTTACAATGCGTTTTTCATTATTTTTTTTTTGACCAACCAAACATAGGAATAGATATTTTGATGGAATGATCATTTCATTTTATTCTAGTGAACCAAATACTACCTTAGGTCTAGGTTTCCTTGGAGAGAGTCAACATCTGTTCTGTTCTTGTTCATTTCATTCTCTTTTAGAAAAGGTTGGAGAGCGTGATTTCATTATGTTCTTGTTCATCTTCATTCTCTTTTAGAAAGGTTGGAGGGTGGGTTTTCGTTATGCATGTACGATTCTAGTGTGTTTCGAATGACTGCAAATATGTTGGAAAAAGGTTCACTTCAGTTCTGAGCCTGCCAATAGGCGATCATCAAATTCTAGTGTGTTTCAAATGACTGCAAATATGTTGGAAAAAGGTTTTCTCTTCAGTTTTGAGCCTGCCAATAGGCGATCATCAAAGGAAGGAAAAGGTAACGGTCTTGCAATGCCGGTGGACACAGATTCAAATCAAGACACATGAGATGTATGTCGCCATATGACATGTCTTTTTGTTTTTATGGATCCACCCCAAGTAGCTTTATACAGAAATATTATTTGCGATGAGTTCAAACTTTGATTGGGTTCGTTTGGAATGTAGGTTGATTTTTTGATTTTTTGACTTTTTGACTATTTTAAACTGGGGCTAAAAAATCTAATTTGGGATAAGTTTTGGGGAATTTATTAGAAAGTCCCCTATGGCGAAATTGTATTCCATTTGCTCCTATGAATATTTTGTTTGATTAGACAAATAGTAGAGATATCTTACTGATAACTCCTTTTTTGAATTATATTGTTATGTGGGAGACAAATATACCCTCGCATCAATTATGGGCTGTTATGTTTTGATTTTTCTATATGTAATCCCACGTTTGGTGGAGGGTTTAGGTGTTTTGTTTTCACCCTCCCTTCTTCCCCTTCTCTCTCCAAAACCCATCTCTCTCTCTCTAACCAGCAAAGACGAAGCAGAACCAGTGGTGTGTTCAACTTGTTGGATTTCATGGCGAGCTGGTTCACACCCACTGCTCTCTTCTGTGTCCTCAACCTCATGATCGGCATTATCTTCATCACCTCTAACCTCAAATCCCACCACCACAAACCACCACCGCCGCCATCGCTGGACGACGAATACCACCACCACCACCACCACCCCCTGCTCCGAGCTCCGTCCATTTTAGAACGAGTTAGGTCCTTCAATTTCTCTCTCTACAGCTCCGAACAACAACTCGACAACGACCCATTACACTTCTCGCCCTTCCACATCGATACACCTTATCCCATACAAACATTCATTCATGTTTGTATTAATGGTGTATGATGTGAATACGTTGCGTTGTTATATCATTCCGAGTCGCGAACACATATTACAGCCCACAGCGCGATTTTCACTCCTTTGTAGCAAGCAACCATTTCTGTCCAGTTTAGGGTTCCACAAATCCAAAACCTCAACCAAAATGTGCCAACAAACTGTTTGCAATCACCCAATAATTTGAAAATTAGCCCCCGAATCTCGGACATGGTACGCAATGGCAGATTTTTTGCACTCGTAAACACCACAAATTATAGACACATACATCTAGGGTTCCCAGTCGACTTTCACAAACATAATATGTTTCCAATTTGGGATGTTCTACCCAATACGAATCTCCTAATTCGGGTTGTTTGTCACCATTCACAAATTCATGGGTTCACCCAAATTATTTATTTATTTATTTTCAATTGGATTGTCAATATGGGTTGCTGGGTGGGACATGTTGTGTCTACATTTTGTGGATGACGTTACAGCATCCCAACATGTTTCGTTAGTCACAAACACTCAAAAACCTTACTAGTATACTTTTTGAATTAACGTGAACACACACATCCTAATTATCATAAACCATCTACATTTTATTGAAACGTAAATTTCACACACCCCTTCCTATGCCTGTAACCCACACTGCCCAAAAAAAATACTATCACCTTTTTTTTAGAACGTGAATCTCACATACCCCTTTCCATAAATACACGCACCACATCACGTGCCTGTAACCCACACCGTCCAAAAAGAGTACTATTACCTTTTTTTTGGAACGTGAATCTCACACACCCCTTCCCATAAATACATGCGGGTCTACAAACTCAAATTAACAATTTAATGGCAAAATAGTAAACAAACAATCCAAAGGACTAAACGGTTTAAAAGAAAACAATTAGGACCACATGATCTACAAGATGATAAAATGGGATTTACTGGTCAATTCCCCTAAATTAAAACATAATTAAATAAATTATCAAAATAAATTTAGGATTTTATTAAAACATAATTAAATAAATTATCAAAATAAATTTACGACGAATACCACCACCACCACCACCACCCCTTGCTCCGAGCTCCGTCCATTTTAGAACGAGTCAGGTCCTTCAATTTCTCTCTCTATAGCTCCGAACAACAACCCGACAACGACCCATTACACTTCTCGCCCTTCCACCTCGATACACCTTATCCCATACAAACATTCATTCACGTTTGTATTAATGGTGTATGATGTGAATACGTTGCGTTGTTATATCATTCCGAGTCGCGAACACATATTACAGCCCACAGCGCGATTTTCACTCCTTTGTAGCAAGCAACCATTTCTGTCCAGTTTAGGGTTCCACAAAACCAAAACCTCAACCAAAATGTGCCAACAAACTGTTTGCAATCACCCAATAATTTGAAAATTAGCCCCCGAATCTTGGACATGGTACGCAATGGCAGATTTTTTGCACTCGCAAACACCACAAATTATAGACACATACATCTAGGGTTCCCAGTCGACTTTCACAAACATAATATGTTTCCAATTTGGGATGTTCTACCCAATACGGATCTCCTAATTCGGGTTGTTTGTCACCATTCAAAAATTCATGGGTTCACCCAAATTATTTATTTATTTATTTTCAATTGGATTGTCAATATGGGTTGCTGGGTGGGACATGCTGTGTCTACATTTTGTGGATGACGTTACAGCATCCCAACATGTTTCGTTAGTCACAAACACTCAAAAACCTTACTAGTATACTTTTTGAATTAACGTGAACACACACATCCTAATTATCATAAACCATCTACATTTTGTTGAAACGTGAATTTCACACACCCCTTCCTATGCCTGTAACCCACACCGCCCAAAAAAAATACTATCACCTTTTTTTTAGAACATGAATCTCACATACCCCTTTCCATAAATACACGCACCACATCACGTGCCTGTAACCCACACTGTCCAAAAAGAGTACTATTACCTTTTTTTTGGAACGTGAATCTCACACACCCCTTCCCATAAATACATGCGGGTCTACAAACTCAAATTAACAATTTAATGGCAAAATAGTAAACAAACAATCCAAAGGACTAAACGGTTTAAAAGAAAACAATTAGGACCACATGATCTACAAGATGATAAAATGGGATTTACTGGTCAATTCCCCATAAGTTTTTTGGTTTTTCTGGCTTTTTGACTTTTTGGTGAGATGTCCATATGTAAAATTATTCAAATGCCCTTGGGCATACCGTGTTCTTTTTGCTGTTCATTTACCCGGGCGTGTGCGTGTTCCCTTTGCTGTTCATTTACCTGGGTGTGTGGGTTGCGAGGCTGTTACATCAACCTATTATTTTTGTCTTCTTTATTTTTTTTATTTTATTTTTTAATTTTTATAATTATGGAAAAAATGAGAATTTTTCTGTTCTTAAAATTACTATTAAAAAAATATTCAATCTAATATTTTTGAGCCCTAATTTATAAAAATCAATCTTAATTCTCATAAAAAATAAGATGAAAACACATAATTTGTACCGACCCATATTGGTATATTAATTTCACCAAATTTTATGATCACTGAACATGCATTTCAAGTAGAAATAGTTTCAAATCAGTATTCGTAGAAGGTAAATGAATCAATGTCCCTGTGAAATGGAGAGGATCCAAATCCCCACAAAACTAAAGCTTCTAACTTCAACGACCAGCAAAACAAAAGAAAAAAAAAAAACAAAGAAAGGTATTTAGCTCTAAACTTATCAAAATTCAAATAATTTTTCAAACTATAATTCAGTCTATAAACAAATAATGTCTGATCTTGACAAAATCTAAAATTCAGTCTATAAATAGGACATGTAAAGAATGGAATAAACAGGACATGTTTCAAATAATGTTTTATCTTGACAAAATCTATAATTCAGTCTCCATAAATAGGACATGTAAAGAATGGCCAAAAAAAAAAAAATGACAATTTCTCCAAAATCGGCATATAAATGTTGTGCAGAATCAAAGTGTTGAGCAAAAAAATCGAACAGACCACGCTTCTTGTAATTTCAGAGATCAATTTTTTAAAGAAAATAGAAAATTTAGATCTATCAGAATTTATGAAGCATCCATCATCATACCGTGGTTTTCCCACATGCCAAACAAACAAATAGCATCCACACAACAAAAAAATGGACGATTAATGAATACCCCAGCAAATCAGGTTAAAGAAGAACAAATTGACCCAAAACCAAAAAAAATAATGTGTACCTCATGATGGGTGGTGGCGAGAATGTGATAGTTGCAATGTGGCCGCCGATGTGCACTCCGGTGGGCTTGGGCTATGGACAGCTTGAGTTGCTGTTCTTCTTCACCAATGGTACTCTTCAATTTTTGCCTCCTTCTCGTCTAACTGTGCCCTAGGTAAGGGAAAGTGTGTGATTTGTGTTGGTGCTGCTATGACACAAACGGATTGGCAATGAGAGTAGTTTGGTAATTTGCACACAGGCTGAACCCTTTTCTATCCACACGACTCTTTTTTGTCTCTTGTGGCTAATTTAGCCTATTTTGGACAAATATGGCTAAATTAGTCCAAGTGTGGATTGCCAAACTAGGGCATTAGAAAATTGTTGTGCGGACTCTCAAAACTTGATGTATGATTTTTTGATCGAAGATCTAGAAAGGATGTTTCACCTAAGCAAAGCAAGCAATGCCCAGTTATGTAAAATGTTGTTTCTGATGTCTCTCCTTGTATCCCATCAAACGTGTCCAATAAATAAATGTGGTATAATTGATGATTCTGAAAAGAAAAATAAATAAATAAAGTGGTACATCGAAGGGGTAGATCAAAGGGTAAGGGTCCGTCTGAAGGCAGTGGGACTGGAGAGGGTACAAAGAGAGGAGCTACTCCCGAAGACCCTCCAAAGAAGATAAACAGCTGATTAGGCAAAATTTTTCTTTTCAACGACTTCATTTGGCATGTGCCTGTGTTTTAGCTTAAATAACAAAAAATTATTAAAAAAATCAAAAAGTTTATAACTTATACTAAAAAATCAAAAAAAAAATTCTCTCTACTTTTTGAATATTTTTCGTAAAAAATTAAAAAGTCATTTCAAATATACTAATTTTTTTACTTCATATTTTAGTCAAAAAATCAAAAAATTACTAAAATAATATGTTCTCAAACGAGGCCATGCAACTTTTGTGAAAATCTAAAAGCTAATGGTAAATTTCAATTGTTACATCAACCTAGCTTGTTGGTTGTCGAGGTTTTTTTTTTTTTTAATAAAAAAATAAAATAAAATAACTTTTCTAGAAAGACATGCAAGTTGATACGCTGAAAGTTCATCATAATGCATACTAGACTGTTATGATTGAACATCACAACATTTAGAGGATTTCTCAATACTAAAGCCACATCTTCAAGTTTCTAGTAAACACGAAGAGCAATTGTTGACACGAGTCTCCCAGTAAATTGTGACATTTCATGTGGGAGGCTCTAAGAAAATCATAGCCCCTCAACATCACCATGAGGCCCATGATGAAATGGTAGATAGTTACTGAATTCCTTCCCTCCAACATGCTCATGGAAAGCACAAGATAATGATATATAGAAGAGAACTACAGTAAATCCCATATTTCTCGATCTCCTTTGTGTCTAACTCTTATCCAATAAATTCAGTTAGTTCTCGTTATTCAATTTACAGGTGGCAGTCCTGGATGCCTATTCGCTTGGGACCATGATAGGCAGCTTAAAATTCCTTTTTTGGAACAAAATATTAACCTGATTCTTTGCTTCATGTGTGAGTTGGTTTCCAACAGCTAACTACCCAAAGAAAGCTTGAAAACCCGTAGCTAAACATACTAAAAAAACTGATTCAACCAGATTGCATAAACAATATACAGAAGACAAAGGGACTTAACCAGTTTATGTTCCTCAACATGGAACTCCCACAATGGTATTAAACAAGTAAACCACGAATCATTATCAATATGCAATAATGCAAAATAAAGCATTCTTCGTCCCAAAGGTCTAAAGCCCAACAAAAGTAAAAAAGCATAATGTACTACTAATGGTGGTTGAACAATATTAAAAAAAAAAAAGAAAAAAAGAAAAGAAAAAACCATGATCAATTTCGAAGAAAAACTTTTCCCTCTGATAGAGCATTCGATTTAGGAAACCTACCATCCATCACAAAGCATCACTCAAAGGATCATATGAACTATATCTAGGTGGTGAGCTCCATGATGGCACTGACTATGTCTCCATTGTGAGTCTTGAGAGCCTTGACAGCTTTACCCCTTGATACACCTGCCTGTGTCATCACCAAATCAATGTCACGAGGCTCCACCCCAGTCTCGTCAATCTCTTCCTCTTCCTCATCCACTTGTGCTCCAGCAGCAGCAGCAGAAATGTCTGACTTTGCCATCACAGATCCCATGTCCGGCATCCTGAACTGTTGGGCAGCCTGTGTCTGCAGCTGAGAGCTCAAGTCCTCAATCTTTGCTTCTCCAAATATGACATAGGTCTCAGAATTTGGACTTTTGAAGACATCAGGTTTGGAGATAAAAAATAATATCTGAAACATAGAAGAGTCATTGGTGAGAAGTCATTCATTCCAAAGATGGATCGACTTCATCAAGTAAAGAGACTGGCATACATTTTTCGTTCTCTTGATGGTCACCCTGCTAACACCTATTACAGGTTTCATGCCCAGCTTCAGCATTGCCTTGCGACTTTTCTTCTCACTTCTGCTCTGCTTTGAACTTCCATTTGCACCTGCACCTCATTTCCAAATCAATTCAAATTAACAGACAACAATGGAAACATTCATCATAAAAATAAATAAATAAATAAAAGGAAAAAAAAAAACTAAATTCCATATAACATAGATGTAGAAAGTCGCTGCACGTCCAAGACATAGAATAGCTGGAAAAAACAGAGATCAACTCAGAAACTTTGACTTAAGAAACAGCTGCATAGTTAGACGGCTATGAAGCACAGGTACGGGGTACGAGTACGGGTATGGGTACTGGTATTGGTACTGGTACTAATACAAGTATGTCGATACAGTAAAATAAAATAAAAAAGTAAAGGTACGGGTACGGCTTGGGCTTGGTATGCTTGTAAAAAAATATTTATTTTTAATTTAGAGTAATGCAAAAATTGATTAGATAGTTTAATTTGTTAAGATCCAACCTACAATTAATATTTAATGCCAAAAGTAAAGGTATAAATCAAAATTAAATATCAATATATTAAATAATTTACAAACCATAACTTAATTTTAAAATCATGCTGAGTATAAAATTAAAAATAAAAAAGAAATCTAGTGAAAAGAATTTTATCTCTGTAGTAAAAGAAAATATTCTTTCAATTGAGATACGATATGGCTTGGATATATACTAGAGACGTCTAGGTATACCAAAAATTACAAGAAAAAATTTGGGTACGTGTTCTGTGTACCCAATACGTATGCAGAAGTACTATACGAGGTACCCTACATCGGTAAGTATCCGGTACAGATACGATTTGTTTTTCGAAGTACCTATGCTTCATAGTTAGAAGGCAAAGCTAATGTCAGAAAAAAGTAACATATTAACTAAACAGCATGGATAGAAACAAATATCGCATGCTAACGTGGCATTAACACAAAAACAGGACACGTACACAGCAGGATACAGCAACTAATATATAAAATTTTTGGTATATAAACATGCAAATGAAAACTTCTTCATTATTACATCAGAATTAAGTTGCTAATTAATTCCATCAAAACAACAATATATCATTAAAACCACACAGATGCCTAACTTTGGGGTATAGGGAGAGATTCTCAAGATCTGAAACAGCATACATGTCACTACCCAACTTATTAATTGCTTGTTCAAGGCAACTTATTAATTGCCTGTTCAAGGCAACTGATCTCCATCAAAGAATCGGACGCTGTAGTGAGATGTATGGCACACAACCAATAATGCAGGATTAGTTTCATGAGAAAGAAGCAAGTGCAGCCATTCCACATTTTACAAGTGGGAACTGAAGGTTCTAATATCTATTTTCAAAAGGTCTATTCATAAACAAATAAAAATAAAAATAAAAATAAAGAAGATTTTAGGTTTAATAATCTATTCTATAAAAAAAATTATGTGGAGGCACATTGTTTTAATTTAAAATATTGAGTCTTACATTATTTCCTTCAAACTTGAGACATGATTCATGTGTGTCTAAGCAATAGCCAAGTAATTCCCAAGTGTATGAACCCTGTCCAACATTGAAAAGATTAAAAATAATAGGACAACTTTGGACATATATTGGATGACTGAGAGAGGGACCTTCTTAGAAGTATCGGGATGATTTTTAGCATATTGTTTTAAACCCACAGACATTGATGAGGAAACCGAAATGTTTAAGCAATTTGGAGAAAGATATCACCAAGGTTCTAGCAAATAATATAGCAGTTAAACAAATTGGGCATTTTCTATGACATCAGAAATTGGCCAACAACAACACATTAGCAGGTCGTTCTACTTTGTAGCTAACATAAATTGGCCCAAACTGCACATCCCTAATTTCAAAGCAAGACGTGTTCTTCACCAAACAAATAACAAAAAGATAGACTCAATCAAATCTTATTATAAATGAAGCAAACATTCACGCAACAAGAAGATAAGAATAAAGAGGGGAAGCGAAAAGGAAGATGAAGGACCACCTTCAGCGCCATCTTCCTTGTCATCGTCGTCGTCATCAGAGTCATCGGCGTCATCGTCGTGGTCATCTTCTTCTTTCACGTCCTCAATCACTGGTTCATCGTTCTGCGAATCACACAACATAAATTAATTGAAATGACAAACCCTAACGAGTGAAAGAAAATGAACAACTCGCTGATGTGAGAAAGTACAAAAGCGAGAGAGAGAGAGAGAGAGAGAGAGAGAGAGAGAGAATACCTGAAGCTTCTTCAGGGTTTCATCTTCTTCGACGACGGGGCCTGGCATGGCTGACGGAGAGAGAGAGAGAGGGAGCGACCGAGAGAGAGCTTGTAGTGTAATGTGTGTGTACTGCGCAGAGCAGTGGATAAACTTTGCTAGGCGAACATCATACGAGAAAGGAGAGAGGAAGAGAGAGAGAGAGAGTTTATCCTAGGGCTAGGGTTCTTCTCATTATGGGCTGAAATGTCACAGCCCAATCCATGGATTGCCTCTCAACATGTGCCTAACTGATTCCTCGACATTCCATCCAGGGATTGCCTCTCTTAGGTCAAGTTTGGCTAACTTAAAAAAGTACACTTATTTCATTTTTTTATTTTTTTTGGTCACATCAATCAACATCTCCTCTCTACTTTTTCTACACATAATACAAAAAAAAGTCAAAAAGTACACTTATTTAGTCTTCCCAAACTTGGCCTTATTTTGGTGTTTGGGGTAACTTAAAAATAAATTATAATCACTCTTACAATTCACACCAAACACCCCTTACATTTGTAATAGATTTGTGATCTAATTTTGTGTCTCATAATTTTTTTCTATTAAAAGTAAAAAAATTACTTAGTTACTTAAGGTGTTTTAGAAAGATTATTAAAAGTTACTTTTTTTAATTTTTTAAAATATTTTTATATAAAAAATATATAAATTAAAAAAAAATTTTAGGTGAATAATAAATTAAAAGTTAAAAATAACTTTCAACCCATTTTTCAAAACACTCCTTATTCAACTTTGAACTCAACCACTTAAAAAAAGATTCGCCAAGTGATACGGGCCTTTCCTTTGTACTGTTGTACAACAAAAGAATAAAGAAAAATTTATTTATAAACTTCATTTTGAAAAATGGAGATTTATTTATATGAGTTTAGTTGAAAGACTTAGAAAATATTTAAAAAATAAAATAAAAAATGAAATTAAAATATAAATAAAATATATTTATATGAATAAAATATACTTATGATTTATTTATATTGTTTTTTTTGTGTGTGCTAGAAAGATAAGATACACAATTTATAAGAATCAAATTTGGAATGAATTTTTGTATGAGAATCTTTTTTATTTGAAAAATATTTCAAAATAAATACAAAAACGACTTGAAATATGAGATTCTTCAAATATGTTAAAAGAATGTGGGATTCTTCAAATATTTCAAAAATTGTACAATAACTCCTTAGTAAGGTTTGAACAAATATATAATTTCAAATTGTAACACTCTAATGTAACATTCAAACGTAACACTCTAAAAAAAATCCTTAACGTATTTTTTTCAAACATAACACTCTAATATAACACTTAAAAAACTTCTTAGTGTATTTTATTCAAACGTATTACCCTAATATAACATTTTAAAAAAATTTCTCAGTATACTTTTTTCAAACGTAACATTCCAATATAATACTCCAAAAAAGGATGTGAGATTATTCAAACCATTCCAAAAGGATGATAGATTCTTTAAACCATTCCAAAAGGAATACAAAAATTTATTAGTAAGTTTTTGATAAATGTGTAATTTTAAATTGTGAGTGTTACATTTGAAAAAAGTAAACTAACGAGTTTTTAGTGTTTTTGTATGTGTTACATTAGAGTATTATGTTTGGGATGACATTATTTGGAATGCTACGTTTGAAAAAAATGTGTTATGTTTGGAAGAAAAAAAAGTGCACTAAGGAATTTTTTTTTGTGTTACATTAGAGTGTTATGTTTAGAAAAAATATATTAAACAGTGTTTTTTGAGTGCTACGTTGTTACGTTTGGGAAAAGTACACTAAATAATTTTTTTAGTGTATTATATTAGAGTGTTACGTTTTTACTTGTAATGTGAGATTTGTTTCAGAAGAAGAGAAAATCCAAAATTTCTATAGTGTAGATTGCCTAAATGTATAATTTTACATTTGGAGAAACTACTATGCTTGGTTCCATTTTTCCAAAAACAGTTTTTAGAAAATTCTACTTTCTTATTTTCCATGTTTTTTTGTTTTTACTGAATTCTTTTAATATTTTAAGATTTTTTTTTACTTTTTAGATATGCCTAACATAATTACACCTAAAAAGTAAAAAATTTGTAAAAAAAAGCCTTTTAAAAATTCACTAAATACTAAAAATATAAAAAAAAAAATACGAAAATTATGTACATTTTTGTATTTTTATGTATTTATTAATTTTTTAAAATATTTTTTTACAATTTTTTTACTTTTTAGATACATCTAAGTAAGGTGCATCTAAAAAAGTAAAAAAAAATGTTTAAAATGTTAAAAATATTCACTAAAAACAAAAAAATACGAAAACCAAAAAGCTTAGTTTTTAAAAAACTTAATCCAAAAAACTCAAACCAAACACACTGAAAAATTAAACCCAAACATGTAGCTGACTACCTTATTGTGTAATTTTTATTTTAACAGAACCTTTAGATTCATAAAAAAAAATAGAGGATTAGACAATTTACAATATCACATGTTTCACCCAAAATTAAATAAATAATAAAACAAAAGTTGTAAAAGAATAAAACATTAAGGTTTCGTTTGGGAACAAGCTAATTTAGTAACTTTTTGGCTATTTAGGTAAAATATGAGCTAAAAAAAACTAATATGTTTAGGATGACTTTTTGGCCTTTTACGAAAAGATGTGCAAAAAGTAGAGAGAAAAGAGAATTTTTGACTTTTTAGTATGAGTTGTTGACTTTTTGACTAATTTAATAACTCTTTGACTTTTTAACTAAAAGAGAGGGTTCCCAAACGAGGCTTAAGCTCTGGTTCAGCTTCAATGTGCTGTGTGTTGCTTCGCATTTGCTTTTAATGAGAATTTAGCCTTTCCCATCTTAATTTTTTTTTTTTTACTCTAATTGCCTTGCTCTTACTTCTCCTATTAATGTGCAAAAAAAGATAAGGGAAATTACTTATTAGTTGGATAGGGAAAAAAAATTACATAAATATGAAGGAGTATAAGTAAAACTTACACCCCTACAGTTTTTCATTTACATCCCATTACAAAATCATTTACACCCTCTAGGTGTGTTTGGTAACGTTTACGTTTTTAGTTTGTATTTACAAAAAATTTATAAACTGGTTTTTGTTTATTTTTAGAAAAACATAAACTACAAACGCGTTTGGTAATTGATAAAATGTTTTAAAAATTTTAAAAATATAAAAAAGAGTGAGAAATGACAAGTGGTGGCAAGTGACGGCGAAAGACGGTGGTGGAAAGTGGTGACGGTGGGTGGTGGGTAGGTGGATGACGGTGGCCGGTGGGGGTGTGCATAATACTGCCGAAACCGCCGAAACCGCCAAAACCGCACCGCCAAGGCAAATTCGTTATTATTTGCCAATCGAATCGCGGGTTTTGGTAAGAAAAATGGCAAATTCTTGTGACACTTTTATCAATCCGCCGGTTTCTATTTTTCTTCCAAACCGCACCGACCCACACCGCTATTAAATCATGTTTTATAAGATTCTAAATTTTTTTTTTTACTTAAGTTTGCTTGTTGTTCTATACCTTAGAATATAGTATTACATTACTGCTCGAGAGAAATTTTATGTATTGTATTTGATCATTGTAGCTTCCACAGATGCTTGTAATGAACTGATGGCATAGTCGTTGATATTATCATGTTGTTGCTACACTTGCTGCATCAGAAGAAAGCTTCACACTTCCCACAAGTTTTAAAAGGGTACAAGTGCTACAATATATGTATATATATGTTATGGAAGTTACTACTTTTGGATTAAGATCTTGTTGATAGATAAATATGAACCCTTCTTATGTAAATTATTTTGGGGGCGTTACATCCTATGATTTTGTTTTGGCTAGTTATTTTCTTATCAACTTGGTTTGGTGCTAACATATGATTGTGCTAGTTAGATAATGCCAACCTAGTTGAGATTGTCTAATTTTGCTATGATGCTCTTTGCATCTTCCGTCTTCTGTCATTTACAATTGAATTTTTTAGTGACTTTTTTTTATTGTATTTAGTGATTTTTTATTTTTTAAAAAAATTAAATTTTTACTAGAGGAGCCTCCCAAAAAAATGAACATGCTACATCTCCCTGATTTTTCTCCCGCAAACTCTTCTTAATGATGTGTCAAACAATTTTGAAAGGAGAGATAAGAGTTTGAAGAGAATTGATTAGTTAGTATTATTCGCTATGGCATTGGGGGAGGGTGGGGGAAAATTTGAGGGATAGAGCTTTACAAAAAACTAAAAGGAAAAAGTAAAAAATAGTGGACTTCTTCTTTTATTTTTTTGGATTTTTTCATTTTTTTAAATTATTCTACACTAGACAATTGAAAAAGTAAAAAATTTTGACACAAATTTTAAAAAAAACAAAAATTACTAAAGATAAAAAAAATGGAAAAAAAATGTGATACTAGTATTGTCTTAAAAACCTACTACAAATTCATAAAAAAAAATTATAATTATAATTATTAATGTGTATATCATTTATATATGTATATATATATATATATATATATTTTGGAAATGTACACTGCACTAAAATTTCTCCAAAAATAAAATAAAAAAATAAATCCCAACATAAGATAATAAAAAATAAATATTAGGTCAAAATAACTTAATTATGATACTTTTGATAATTAACACTACGAATATCACAACAATACTGCAGACCCACATTTTACACCTACAAATACATTCACGATAATGTGACAAAGGTGATGAGTCTCATACTATTGAGTGTGTAATCAATCAAAAATCAATACTTATCAAATCAGATCAGTGTGGGTTGAATTGTGGGACATTTGTAGGGCTCTCAAACATTTCTTAAATATCATAACTTATATATAATATACACCTCTTTTGCGGTGTTCAACTTTTTCATTTTTTGTCCTAAAAATAAGGGTAAATTACACTTTGCCCCCTTTATCTTTGGTTACTTTGCCACTTTGACCCTTAAAGTGGTCACTTTGCCACTTTGCCCCATCCATTTGGTTTGGTTTAGTTTTGAAATTTATTTTGGAAAATAAGTTTTTGAAAGGAGTTTGGAAAATTTTCATATTTATTTCTTCACAATTTAAATCCACTTAATCTACATAATTTAAAATGTTTCATATTTATTACATTTGTTTTTTTATTTCTTCATATTTTGTTTACTGTTTAGGTATATTTTTTGGATCGTGCATATATATATATATATATATATATAAAACATAACAAATTATTTGGCCAATATTTAAAAAAAA